TTTCAACTACAAATTAATGAAAATTTTGGTATCTAAGTGTTTACAACAGTTTTTACAGGATTTTAGTAAATTTTATCTAGTTTTACTAATGTAAACAAATTATAATGTCCGAAATGAAATTTAAAGTTATTTTGAAAAATGTTAAAAAATGTCCTTTAATAATTATCGAAACGGGTTATTTTTACCCGTCACCTTTATAGAGTATTAATAATCAGTTTTAATTTATTTGTATTTTTGTTTTTTTTATTAAAGATACATACAATGGAGAGGAATCATTGGTGGTCAAACTTTTGGGTATGGTTACAAGGTTTTGCAGTGGCGTCGCACCACATTTTCCAATGAAAAAAGTTATATTACTTTTGTGGAAAGTAATTCTAGTGACACTTGGGGGATTGACACGTTGAGGAACTAAAAGTATGTACAGATAAAATAAAATTTTAAGTAAAATTTAAGCTTTTTTATGAAGTCAAAAAACATCTGATCTGAAACTAAGTCAATAAATTAACTGAAAGAAGGATTAAAAATTATTAAGTTTCTAAAATGACTACAAAATAGGGGTTTGTGGTAGGAAGATGGAATTTAGGGCTTAGGCTATTATGTTTCTTTAAAAAAATTTTTTTCAAATATTAGGGTGGGTCAACTTTTAGAGATATGAAAAGATTCTTTTTTTATAGATATATATCGCGAACGGGCTGGTTTATCAAATAATTCAGAAGATACCATAGAAGTAACGCGAAACATGAGGGCTTGTTCACCACCAACAAGTGCAGCTGATTTAATTGAAGCACAAAATCCTAAAAGAAACAGCAGGCCATTCAGACGGGTACAATTTACACGACAAAACCTCCAACACCATTCTATATTTATACATGTATCTATATCCTCTTCAGAGTTTGATTAAACAAAGTTCCCTCGACGAGCAGCAAGATCCAACCTTACTAGGACTAGATGTAGATTGTCCAGGAGGTCCTGAACCCGATGACGAATTGGGAGAATTTGGTCGCACTCTGGATGCTGAACAAGGAACCGTCGGATCTAATGACCAGGTTTTCACAGGTGCTGATGGTGAGATTCAGAACGACAGGGACACTACGATGGTTGATGAAAAGGCTCCTGGACCTGCTGGGCAGCAGCCTAGTCTCGATAGGCCTGGGACACCTGTACCAGCACCCAAGGGTAATAGACAGACTCAGTCAACTGATGAATTGGCACTAGGGTTTATACAAAAACCGACATTTCAGAAAACCGGTTTTCGAATTTTAATTTTACTTAAAAACCGGTTTCAACCGGTTTTCGAATTTTATATGGAAAATAAATTTTTGCTCGAATATTCTGTAATTTATCCGCAAATTTAGTGTAAATTTAGAGCAGTATTTGACTGAATTTATTTATTGTTCAATTTTATGGATAGTAAACAAAATTATTTTAATTTTAATTAGTAGAACTTAAGATTAATAGTTTATCTTGATTAAATAACTTTGAAAATAATTATTCGTTATTCATGCATCATTTTCACATATAAGAATGAAAATATTTTTATGATAGTGAAAGGAAAGTTTTCGAATAAATAAAAATATTACATTTTTAAATAAAAAAAATTCATTAAATTAAAAAAAATAGATACATGTTGATACATACTTGTTAATATCAATTATAGTTTTAAAAACAATTAAGCTAAACTCGCGTATTGTCTGTTCCGAGCAATTTTAATTAATTAATTTCAAACATTCTAATTGTTTTCTGTTTAATAAAATATGATTTAAAAAAAATGAGAACGTCTATCGAATTGCTACTGTCCTTTGTTTACTCACAAAATTTTCTGAAATAGAAAATACTCTCATATTTGCGACCAAATTATGCTTAATTGTTTTTAAAGCCTGATATAATAATTCTAGGTTTTTTGTTCTTTAATTTGTGTCTTTTAGGGTTTAAAACTCTTTTTTTTTAAGTTTGAGTAGAGAAAGTTACTTCTTCAAGAAGATGTCACACTGATTTAAATTAATATATACACTGGTATAAAAATCTAAATTAAGTGGGTTGTTCTTTTTTTTGTTACAAAAAATGCAAGGTATTTATTTTTGTTTTTCTCGAAATGTATTCATCATTTCATGAAACATGCGTTTTTTTTAAACAAAAATTACAAAACCATAGAATATTACGAAATTTTCTTTTTCTTTTTTTTCGCTGTCATTTTTTAACCAGGGGCGACAAAGTCGGCCTTGCAAAATCGATCTCTTTTGCGGTGCCACTTGCAAAAAAAAAAAGAAACTACGTTGAAGAAGAAGTTTGAATCCAGTCCCCCTACCAAAATGAAAGAAGGAAAAAAATGGCAGCTATTTAAAAAAAAGTGTCAAAAAAGGCCTTTTTTGGGGCGAGAAGCTTCGCAAATTTTTTTTTCGTAATGTTATCAAGTTGTTTGAGGTAGGGGGACTAGGTATTGCAGTGGTGAACAAATTAAAAAAAAATGCAAGTCGATCCGAATTGTAGTTTTTTTTTTAATTTGTGGCACCTCATTGAAAAAAGTCAATTTGAGAAAAACGTTATTAAAGTTTTTAATAAAATGTACTTAATACACCATTTAATTTAATGTACCAATACACCATGGTGTTCAAAGATGCTGACACATTAAAAAGGTCATGTGCATGAGGTATTATAATGAAAAAGAGAGCAGCTGGCATACAATAGCTCGCGGAACGATAAAAAACGCTTTCAGAGGATCATACATATAGAGATATATATATCTATAACTTCGTCAAAAAAATAGATATTGAGATGATTTTTTTTAAATAATTCTAAGGTTTTTAGCTTTCATAATATCAAAAATTCTCAAAATCGAAAAAAAAAAATAAAAACCGAACAACCCCCTTAATATATACAAAACGTTTCTAGGAACCATTGCAGACTTACAAGATATAAAATGCTATTGAAGAATCAAAACGTTATTAAAGTTTTTAATAAAATGTACTAAATACACCATTTAATTTAATGTACCAATACACCATGGTGTTCAAAGAATGCTGACACATTAGAAAGGTCACGTGCATGAGGTATTATAATGAAAAAGAGAGCAGCTGGCATACAATAGCTGCTAAATAGATGAAAAAAAACGGTTTCAGAGAGATATATAGTATATCTATAACTTCGTCAAAAAAATAGATATTGAGATGATTTTTTTTAAATAATTCTAAGGTTTTTAGCTTTCATAATATCAAAAAATCTCAAAATCGAAAAAAAAAAAATAAAAACCGAACAACCCCCTTAATATATACAAAACGTTTCTAGGAACCATTGCAGACTTACAAGATATAAAATGCTATTGAAGAATCAAAACGTTATTAAAGTTTTTAATAAAATGTACTAAATACACCATTTAATTTAATGTACCAATACACCATGGTGTTCAAAGAATGCTGACACATTAGAAAGGTCACGTTCATGAGGTATTGAAATGAAAAAGAGAGCAGCTGGCATGCAATAGCTCGCGGAGCGATGAAAAAAACGGTTTCAGAGGATCATACATATAGATATATATATATATATATATATATCTATAACTTCGTCAAAAAAATAGATACTGAGATGATTTTTTTTTCAAATAATTCTAAGGTTTTTAGCTTTCATAATATCAAAAAATCTCAAAATCGAAAAAAATAAATAAAAACCGAACAACCCCCTTAATATTAGGTTGTCAAATATCTCCCTTCCGCCTTTTTGTATTATAAACCAAGAGCAAAAAAGCGGAAGGGAGATATTTGACAACATATTTTTTTATTTTAAAACGTTTCTGGGAACCATTTCAGACATATAAGATATCAAATGCTATTGAACCGATATGATTTCAAGAATCAAAACGCTTTCATCTATCTTTTATATTTGGCTATACTCGTATTTGTCATTTTCCATTTATACAGTGAAAACCGACTTTTTTCACTAAAAAACCGGTTTTCGAATGCCATAACTTTTGCCAAAAAAAACGGTTTTTAAAACCGGTTTTTTGAAAAGCAATAAACCCTAATTGGCACTTATGATTGTTTATTATTTTAGGTTTACCATGGATGCCTAAAGTGCGTCAAAAAGACGTAGAGACTTTCCTGGACGCCTCCAGAATGAAATTCATCGGTTACACTTTGCACAATGATCAAGAAAGTACTGCAGGTTTACCTCAACCTATACATGAAGGCATCAGAACACTAAAACGGGTAAATATTATTAAATTTGTATTTTGTATTTGTATACATATTATGTGTGTATATTAGGGTGGTCCTTAAAATGGTCATTTTCGAATTTCCTTGCTCCCAGGGGCTCAAATGGTTCCAAATTGATAAAAAACAATTCTCTGAAAGTTCTAGCTCTTAATATTAACGTTTAGATAGAGCGCAATTCAATCAAAGTTTGTATGGAAAGAGCATGGAAACAATTTTGAAACTTTAAAAAAATGTTTTAGGTATAACTTAGCGACAAATGAATGAGTTTTATTCATTCATTTATTCGCTAAATTACATCTAAAAAACATTTTTAAAATTTTTGAAAATTTTTCCATGCTATTTCCATACAAAACTTTGATTGAATTGCGCTCTATCTAAACGTTAATATTAAGAGCTAAAATTTTCAGAGAATTGTTTTTTATCAATTTGGAACCATTTGAGCCCCTGGGAGCAAGGAAATTCGAAAATGACCATTTTAAGGACCACCCTAGTGTATATGCATCACAGACATTTTATATTATGAAAACGATTCGTAATTAAATTTGAATTGAAGGTAAATTTATCGAGATTGTAACAATATAAATTTCATGTCCAGAAATACATACTGATGTTATAGTCGTCCTACAATAATAAAACCACTAATTTCAATGATTTTTAACTCGAAAGTGAAAATTTTTATGGATCTTTACGTTTCAAAGGTTTCTCAACATTTTGGCATACCTCAGAAAAAATGGATGTGTGTGTGTGTGTTTTTTGTATGTCCGCATTTTTTCGTCCACGTTTTCAGGCGCACGGATCGACCGATTTGAATGGTTTAAACAACATTCGATCCCTATTGATAGGGAAAAGAGCTGATTAGTTTTTGGCAAAGGCAGGTCCAGCCGTTACGGAGATACGGAGGAAAGAGTGCAGAAAATACAAATCGAGTTTTATCGGATTTGAATGATCTAAAAAACATTCAATTTCTGATGATTGGGAAAAGAACTCTACTGACGAGCAACTAGAAATATTAGACAAAAGGGACTCTACTGACGAGCAAATTAAAATATTAGGAAAAGGGGACTCTACTGACAAGCATAATGAAAATATTAGAAAAAAGAACTCTACTGATGAGCAAATGAAAATACAAAGAGAAAAAAGGGACTCTACTGACGAGCAAATAAAAATACAAAGAGGAAAAAGGGACTCTACTGACTAGCAAATGAAGATATTAGGAAAAAGGGCTTCTACTGACGAGCAAATGAAAATTGTAAAAAAATGGACTCTACTGGCGAGCAAATTAAAATACAAAGAGAAAAAAGAGACTCTACTGACGATCAAATTAAAATATGTAATAAAAGGGACTCTACTGACGAGCGAATGGAAATATTAGAAAAAAGGACTCTACTGACGAGCAAATAAAAATACAAAGAGGAAAAAGGACTCTACTGACGAGCAAATAAAAATACAAAGAGAAAAAAGGGGCTCTACTGATGATCAAATTAAAATATTAGGACAAAGGGGCCTCTACTAACGAGCAAAAGAAAATATTAGGAAAAATGGACTCTACTGACAAAAAAATGAAAATTTGTAAGAAAAAGGGACTCTACTGACTAGCAAATAAAAATATTAGGACAAAAGGGACTCTACTGATGATCAAATTAAAATATTAGGAAAAATAGACTCTACTGACGAACAAATGAAAATTTGTAAGAAAAGAGGACTCTACTGACGAGCAAATGAAAATTGTAAAAAAGTGGACTCTACTGGCGAGCAAATTAAAATACAAAGAGAAAAACGAGACTCTACTGACGATCAACTTAAAATATTACGAAAAGGGGACTCTACAGACGAGCAAATGAAAATACAAAGAGGAAAAAGGGACTCTACTGACGAGCAAATGAAAATATTACGAAAAAGGGACTCTACTGATGAGCAAATGAAAATTTGTAAGAAAAAGGGACTCTACTGACGAGCTAATGAACATGTCAGGACAACAGGGACTACTGACGAGCAAATGAAAATATTAAGACAAAAGGGACTCTACTGACGAGCAACCAGAAGATTTGTAAAGTGACAAATGAGTTTTAAGAAACTTTAAGAGAAAAGAAATTCTGCTGACTAACGAATGAAATTTGGACCCGAGAAAATTTGGCAAAGGCAGGTCCCGCCATTTCGAAGATACAGAGCTAAATGTGCAAAAAATTGCAGTTTTTGAGTGAACTAAGCGTCCGATTTGAACGATCTAAAAAACATTCTGCTTGTATTGACAAAACTATTGCTTTTGAGGATAAAAAATTATTACATCTTTTTTTTATTTACCATAAAATATTTTTGTAATTTTGGATCGAAAATTCAAAAAATTACCCAGGCTAAGCACAGTCTAAGCGCCACTCCGGTACAAATGTTTACCCAAGTGCGTTTAGACTGTTTATAGAGCACTTTTGCAATTTTGTGAAAACGATTGAAAAATGTGAAAATGCCGATAAGCTAAACACAGTATAAGTGAAAATGTCGCACAGAATTGTTTGCAAATGCGTTTAGACTGGAGCACTTTTTCAATTTTGTGTATATTAGGCAACTATTTTTTTTTTTAAATTGAATTCGAAACGAAATGACGATTGTTAATATTCTGGAGATAAATTTATTTATGATTTATGATTCGCTCAAAAATAACAAGATAGCAAAAATAATTAACCTTACAGTACTTGTTATTAACATTTAAAATTTCTCGAATATTACGGTACCAGGGAAGTACCAGCAATTTGCCTTAAGGCACGATGCCATACACCACTAGTTACAACTACTTCTATTTCCCAGCATATGTACGTCAGCTTAGCAGAGATCCAAATAAAGCGTGAGGAAGAGATGGCAAGGAATCCACTGTCTTCCAGTGAAGGAGAAGTTCCAGCGACTCCGACAGAATTATTGTACCAGGCCATACTTCCAAATTTACCCCAATATATGATAGCACTGCTCAAAATACTATTAGCAGCTGCTCCTACCAGCAAAGCAAAAACAGAATCGATCAATATAATGGCTGATGTGCTACCAGAAGAAATGCCGTAAGATAAAGGATACATAAATACTAATTTAAATTCAAATTATTATATTAATTTATTTTTATGTCTATTTCAGAATGACTGTTCTGCAATCAATGATTTTAGGAATAGATGTCAATCGACACAAAGAGATTATTGTTAAAGCCGTGTCGGCTATATTATTATTACTTTTGAAACATTCAAAATTGAATCACATATATCAGTTTGAGTTCATGTCGCAACATTTAGTGTTCGCGAATTGTATACCGCTAGTTCTCAAGTTTTTTAACCAGAATATAATGGCTTATGTTGGGGCAAAGAATGTGTAAGTAGAGAAATAATACATTATATATATATATATATATATATATATATATATATTATTAGCAAACCCGACGAACTCCGTTTCGCCACCAGATGGTTTCGTGAGAAAGATGAAGAAATTGTTTGTTTGTTTTATATTTGAAAAGGAAAAATTTGATTTTATTACACAACAGTAATGAATTTATTTCGATTACAAAAATGAAGTGTTTTATAGTTGAACTTCTCTAAGTAAATGAAAGTGAATCCGCAAATTATGCGTTTCATTGAAGTGCTCTTTGGTAAACCACATTTTTTGTTTTCTGATCTGATGTTAACACAAACAAAGCGGATGGTTTTCCAACTCGTGAACAGGCAACGTATAACTGCCCATGTAAAAAACAATGATTTTCTAAATAATCTATTTAAAATTTACCGCGCAAACACAAAGCGATTGGCCTTGAGACTTGTTATCGCGAACGCTTGGAAATTGCAATTGTTTGAAGTCAAACGGAAGACCTGTCGGAATCATTGGTATGTCACCAAATCGCCAGCAATTTTTGATTGAATGGTGAAATTCAGTGCGTGTATATCATTATTCTTTGCGGCAAGAATTGCTTGTTGACTTAACCAAGCATAATTCTGATAATTCTCACTGATGTCATTACACGAATTTTTAATTACGGTGCGTGAAAACCAGCAATTTGCATTATGGCACGATGCCATGCACTACTAATTTTCTTAGCTATAAACCTTGCGGAGCCCGAGACCTTTTTAACGAATGCAAAATTGTCGAAATCGGTTCGTGCGTTCTGGAGTTATTTCGTCAGGAAGGAAAACCCGACTTATTTTTATATATATAGAAGATATATATATATATATATATATATATATATATATATATATATATAAAGTGAGAGGTTTTTCTTCAGATGGTGAAATAATATGATCAAATTGTTTCTTGGGCATCAATCCAGAAATTAAAAAACAGATTTATTGAAAAATGTTTTTATTTAGAGAAACATACGTTTCGGGTCTTGATTTGACTCATCTTCAGTGCTACAAATAAATATTTCAGGGATACAAATTAAAACAATATAAAAAATACATAATTACAGACAAAAATAAGTATGTAAATAAGTAAATATAAATATTTTAATTTTACTATTATTTTTTTTTAAAAAAATTCATAACTTGATGTCTTATCAATTTTTTATTTCTTATTTAATTATTTTTTAGTGCAATTTTGTTATGTTTTTTGTGTTATTTTTTAAAACTTATTTGTATGGTGAGTTTCTTTACATTTGTTTTATTTTATGGTTGTTTTTCATATATACTTTTCATATACATTGTTCTACTTATTTTTGTCTGTAATTATGTATTTTTTATATTGTTTTAATTTGTATCCCTGAAATATTTATTTGTAGCACTGAGGATGGGTCAAATCAAGACCCGAAACGTATGTTTCTCTAAATAAAAACATTTTTCAATAAAACTGTTTTTTAATTTCTGGATGGATGCCCAAGAAACAATTTTATCATATATATATATATATATATATATATATATATATTGTATGATTCTGAATTTGATGTTGACATATGTATTAACAAAGTCTAGTAATCGTGCATAACATCAATAAAAAACAAGAATTTCTTTCAAAAATTTATTTTAAATCCATACGTTTCGGCTATAATCCTAGCCTTCATTCAGTGGAAACTAAAAATAAAATTAAAAACTAAAACAATTGAACCGGAGTGAAAAGAAAAAAGAAAATAGTAAATAGTACTTACAATTAGTTAATCTTAGTGTTAAATTGGAAGATTTTAATAATCCATGGTATCAGGGTATGGTAATGGTAGTGCACTATGTATTATAAACATTAATGTTTATACATGTCTTAATTAATTAATTAAGAATTTATACACAATATTTTCACAAAATACTAATTTAAAAAATCACAAATAGATAGTGTGTTGTTCGTAGACTGGTTGAAGATATAATGGAGAAAAGACTTTTTAAAAAATATTTTTTACCAAGATTCTACACATGTGTGGAACGAATTGCGAATCCTTTGCGCGTCGTTTTTATTGTTTTGTGCTCTCGTCTATCAAATAAATTGTCTAGATTGTAATTTAATTTACATAGGAGAAACAAGCCAGAACTTAATGCAACGTTTACAACAACATAAAAACAATTCAAAAAATCCGAGACAATTTAAAACTATGATTGCGGAGCATATTTATACTTTAAAACACAATATGGACTTTTCTAACCCGACTGTACTACAATTCGAACAAAATTTATTCAAGCAAAGAATTATGGAAAGATATTTTTTAACTATTTACAGCAATAAAACAATAAATAAACAGAATGAACTTAACACGCTGTGCGACACAAATCTCTTTTATTTAGATAGTATTTTCAAATTTCTCACAAAGCAATAAAAACGACGGGCAAAGGTTTCGCAATTCGTTCCACACATGTGTAGAATCTTGGTAAAAAATATTTTTTAAAAAGACCTTTCTCCATTATATCTTCAACCAGTCTACGAACAACACACTATCTAATTGTGATTTTTTAAATTAGTATTTTGTGAAAATATTGTGTAATTACAAGTTTAATGTTTATAATACATAGTGGAGTGCAACACCATATCCTGATATCATGGATTATTAAAATTTTCCAATTTAACACTATTGCAAGGGATCTTATAGATATATCATATATATATCATATATATATATATATTTGTTTGTTTTTAGAATTCCCATAATGGATTTTCCAACGAGCGTTATAGGAGAGCAGCCAGAATTAACAACTGATATTTTGGAAATTGGAATGTTACACATCACAGCACAGTATTCATGGAGGAATTTATTTTCTTGTATAAATCTTTTAAGGATTTTGAATAAGTTAACTAAATGGAAACATTCACGCATAATGGTAAGTGATAATTGATACATATATATATTTTTATACTAGATGACCCGACAGACATTGTCTTGTACCCATGTCTACAATTTTTTAATATAATATACTAATATTTACCGTTTTACCTAAAAATAATATTATTTGTTTTTTAAAAAATTACTCTTCACGCCAAAATGCATAAACATTTATAATATGAGCGATGTTAAATGTAAAACTGCTTTAAATAAAGTGATGAGTCTCAATTCCCACACTATTTATTGGAAATTGGAGTCTTTTAAACGGTATAACATAGCCATAACCATAACATAACACTGGTACTTCATGTTGGATTAAATTAATTTAATTTTTTATTATTTAAAATATCCAAAATTGCATCTTAAACTTCTCCTAATCGATATCGTGAGGGCCGATTTGTATGTATTCATCTTTACTTTCCCATTTGTTGTTATAAAGTGAAATTTTTACGAATTTTAAAAATATTGTGGAAAGATTAGTAAAACACGCAAAGAAATTATGTATTAAAAAAATAAACTATATTGAAAATTTAATATCCGAATCTTGTGTTGGCGCCCCCTAAGGCGTGCGCTCGTATTTTTCGCATGCATCGCATTAAAGGTATGACCGACCCTGATTAATACTTAATTTCATATTTTAAGTGAATTAATTTGTCATATCCTGTTCATACATGTATCATTCAATCTGCCATACATATACTGTATTTTATATTATTTCAATTTTTGGCACATCTCAGCTGCTTTTTGGCAATAATAATGCATACATTTCATTTTTCTTATTCATAATCATAAATTTATTATACATATTCTAATATTGTCTAGGTTCATAAGTAAATTGAAATTTTTGGCAGATGATAGTTTTCATTTGTTTGCAATGCAAACAATGACATGTCGTTTTTTACAATTTTTTCCATTTATTTCTACAATATTGCACATACATCCCAGTACTTTATAATCACATACATCCTAGAAAAATTCCTTAACAAACTTCAGAAAGATTTATCAAAATCTGAATAATCGTTTAGAAGGAGTATACAGTGAGTGCTTGTAATTTAATATGAACTTTATATAATAGAAATAAAGCTCAAATGATTACGGGGCGTTCCCTAACCAGCCTTTACCTTGCAGATGCTGGTTGTTTTCAAATCAGCCCCAATTCTAAAACGAACATTAAAAGTACAACACGCAATGATGCAATTGTATGTATTGAAATTGTTGAAAATGCAAACGAAATATTTAGGACGCCAATGGAGAAAATCGAATATGAAAACTATAAGTGCTATTTATTCTAAGGTCAGGCACAGATTGAATGATGATTGGGCCTTTGGAAACGGTAAGAGTTGTTTATATTTATATTTATATATATATATATATATATATATGTATACTAGGTGACCCGGCAATGTTGTTTTGCTAAGTAAGGTATATTCTGAACAATTTCTAGAGAATCAACAAAATTAATACTTTGAGTGTATAAAAATGGGTTGCTTGATTGCTATATACGATGAGGTATTATAAAAACAATAAGCACCATTAGTTTATCTATATTTTGTCAATTCTACAATCTAATCCAAGTCTTTTTATTCTTCTGACTTATTGCAATAAGTCATGATTACGTTTCAAGTTTTTCAGATTCAAATAATCATGATTACGTTTCAAGTTTTTCAGATTCTTTTTTGATTCTGGATTTTGTGTATAATTGTAAATAATACTCCTAAGCTTATACAAAATTTTCAAATTTTTGCGAGAAGAGATAGAAAATGAATTAAATATTTTATCTTTGACCTGCTTTTTGAAAAGTTTCAAATAACATTCGATGAATTAAAGTAAATTTAATAAAAGGTATACATGTATAGCAGGGCGAGGCACAAAGGTCCAATTTGACTTTGAGCAAATATAAACTATATTATGAAAACCAAACCAATTATATCACAACAAATAACACATTTCAAACGAACAATTATCTGACTACGTTCAGTAAAACTGCCAGCTACTTCATCATTGTAAAAATGTGCTTTTTTTATGTCTTTCAAAAATTTGTTATCTAGACAAAAGGTCTAGAGTGCTTATAGGCAGAGTCACTGGAACGGCCAGTTGGCAAACAGGTTTAATGTCTTATTTTAATTTTAAAGGTATTTTACAAAATTATTACATTTTTAACTAATGCCAAAAAACTACCACCGGAAGAAAATACTTTTATTATGGATTTTCAAAAATTACCATTTATCTCCCGATAGCAAAGTCATAAGAATCAAGGTTATAGCTGGTTATACATCTTTTCCCCTCTACTTTCAAATATTGTTGTTAAACAATGCTTAACTTTACTGGTTTTTGAAACATCGGTGGTGGACCTTTTTAACTCCGGACTCTCATATATTACTATCTATTCTTCGATAAATTCTGGGAAATTATAACTGGGAAAATGTTATTTGATAAAATATCCCTTTGATCGATACCAAATTTAGGTTCTGAATTTAAATAACATCAATAAAAAATAATATAACCTAGAAAAAGTTTTATAAATGCTAATGAGTATATAATTATACAATTGAGATCTTTCAGAGCACCGTGTTTGAGAAAAATATTATTTGCAAAAAAAGAGTGCTACAACGCCAAAAAGTGCATTTTCATATTAACATTTCAAAAAGTTGATATTGTTGAGTTTGTAATAACACTTGCGGCCATATTACATGATTTTACTGAATTGCAAATTTATAGCTGTTTTTGTAAGAAACATATGCAATTTTATATTTTTATAATTGAGTACACATATTAAGAAATATCATACTAAAATTTTGTAACTCTAGTATAACGTTTTATATTTTTAAATATTTTTCAAAATACTCATCAAACCGTGGACTTGCAACTATTGCAAGAGTGCATTTGTTTACAAAATTTACATTTATAGCTTCTTTTTGTTAGAAATATATGATATTATAATTGAGTACATATATTAGGTAATAACATACTAAAATTTCAAAGCTCTAGTATAATATTGTATGTTATTAAAACATTTTTCAAAAGTACTTCTCATATCATATCCAACCGACGATTCGCAACTAATAAAAATAGAGTATGCGAGTGTGCATTGCAATTTAGAAGAGATTTGATTTTATATTTTTATAATTCAGTACACATATTGGAAAATAACATACTATAATTTCATAACTGTATTACAACGCTTTATATTTTTAAAATATATTCTAAGCCGTCAATTTGTTTACTAACGTTTTTATGTATAAATAAAACTACAAACAAAACTACTTACGACAATTCAATCATAGTTAAATAATATTCACGTAAAACATCCTATTAAACGTAATTGAACATCATCTGTGAAAAACTTTTGACATTTGACGTATTAGCCACCGTCTATTGTTTTATTCAAATTACGCTTCTACAAAAATGTTCAAATTAAAAATGTAAAGTTTCTACGCGATTTTGAAATAATATCTCACCTTTCCAACAACCTACTCTGATTAGCACGAATTTTTCAATATTAAAAGTGGCCAAATCGGTTCAGCCGTTTTCGAGTTTTAGGAAATCATTTTATCGGGAGCTTCATTTTTATATATAAGATATATATATATATATATATATATATATATATATATATATTTCTGAATAGTCTTGAATATATATACATATATTTATATATATACATATATATATATATATTAATTTCACCTGAATCATTTTCCCCTTTATCCTAGATTTGGATGCCCGTCCCTGGGACTTTCAAGGCGAAGAGTGCACCCTTCGAGCCTGTGTCGACAGATTCAATAATAGGAGGTACCTAGGCACCCCTGTTGATGTCGAAATGGAACCTGTCGATAATTGCATCAACAGTGTCCTGGGCAATTCTCAAAATGAAGAATTTGTCCAATTGCCTGATGAATTTAAACAGCATTACGAATTGTGGCTGCAGCAGGAGGTCTTCAACAACGACATCAATTGGGACACTCTTCTGGTTTCTGCAGAAATATAATAAACGATAATAAAGGATAATAAAGGATAATAAAGGATAATAAAGGATGATAAAGGATAATAAAGGATTTATTTAAAAGAAAGGAGTTGAATGAATAGAGAAGGTATTTATCGAGGAGATAAATGATTTAAAATTGAATAAAGAAAGTATTCATTAAGGAGTCCTGCATGTTTGTAAATGGTATAAATTTTATATTGATTATTTTTTTAAGTTTAAAGGCTTCTTTATGATATTTAAACTTTTGTAATTAAAAATGTTTAATAGTTTTGAAACAGAGATTTGATTTTTATATTAAATTCAATTAAAGTTAAAGGATTTTTATTCAGTTTTGCGAGTATTTATTTTGATTAAATTTAATCAAAGTAAGTGGCCAAATATCAATACTATCTTTTAGTTTTATATATCCTATTATATCCATTTTTTTCCTATTTACAACTGATTTCTTTTTCATTTTTCTTTTTTTCTATGAAATTTTATTAAATCTCTTTTCAATTCTAATCCTGGCTTTTTTTTCTCATTTTTAATTTTATTTCAATTCAAATTTTATTTAATTTCAAATTACCTATATTTAAGTTTCTGCTTATATTCCTAATTACCGTGTTACAAATGTTTGAACTTTTGTAATTAAAAATGTTTAATAGGTTTAATACAGAGATTTGATTTTTATATTAAATTCAATTTAAGTTACAGGATTTTATTCAGTTTTGTGAGTATTTATTTTGATTAAATTTAATCAAAGTAAATGGACAAATATCAATACTATCTTTTAGTTTTATATATCCTATTCTATCCATTTTTTTCCTATTTACAACTGAATTCTTCATTTTTCTATGTAATTCTAGTATAACTCTTTTTCAATTCGAATCCTGGCTTTTTTCCTTACTTTTAATTTTATTTAAATTCAAATTTTATTTAATTTCAAATTACCTATATTTAAGTTTCTGCTTATATTCCTAATTACTGTGTTACAAATGTTTGAACTTTTGTAATTAAAAATGTTTAATAGGTTTAATACAGAGATTTAGTTTTTATATTAAATTCAATTTAAATTACAGGATTTTAGTCAGTTTTGCAAGTATTTATTTTGATTAAATTTAATCAAAGTAAATGGTCAAATATCAATACTATCTTTTAGTTTTATATATCCTATTCTATCCATTTTTTTCCTATTTACAACTGATTTCTTCATTTTTTCTTTTTTTTGTAATTAAAAATGTTTTAGTTTTGATACAGAGATTTAATTTTTATATTAAATTCAATTTAAGTTACAGGATTTTATTCAGTTTTGCAAGTATTTATTTTGATTAAATTTAATCAAAGTAAATGGACAAATATCACTAGTATCTTTTAGTTTTATATATCATTTATATACTATTCATTTTTTTTCTATTTACAACTAAATTCTTCATTTTTCTATGTAATTCTAGTAAATCTCTTTTTAATTCTAACCCTGCCCTTTTTTCTTACTTTTAATTTTATTTAAATTTAAATTCTATTTAATTTCAAATTACCTATATTTAAGTTTCTGCTTATATTTCTAATTACTGTGATATTACAAATGTTTGAACTTTTGTAATTAAAAATGTTTAATAGTTTTAATACAGAGATTTAATTTTTATATTAAATTCAATTTGAGTTACAGGATTTTATTCAGTTTTGTGAGTATTTATTTTGATTAAATTTAATCAAAGTAAATGGCCAAATATCAATACTATCTTTTACTTTTATATATCCTATTCTATCCATTTTTTTCCTATTTACAACTGATTTCTTCATTTTTCTTTTTTTATATGAAATTCTAGTAAATCTCTTTTTTAATTGTAATCCTGCCTTTCTTCTTTAAATTTTCATTAAAAATTCAATTTACCTATATTTAAATTCTTACTTATATTTCTAATTACTATTTAATTTTAACTCAAATTATATGTCATTGATTGTAAATTTTATTTTTGTAAATTTTTACTTTGGTACACTTTTGTGTGAATATTGAAAAAAATTAAGTTACTTAATAATTGATATAAAAAGAAATTTTAATAAACAATGTACAAGATGTGAGAAGTTTAGGGCCATTTCTCCGATAAAATAGAGATGTTATGATTGGTAGTAAAAACTGTTTACTAGAACCTAAAAAACATGTACTATTGAAGTATGTACATGCTTTTTTTTTATTGTATCTTTTGTAACTTTTAAACTATTTGTCTAATGGAAATGAATCTTTTGGCAAATTTGTACAAAATTAAATAATCATTAACATTGTCTAACATCACAAAGTCCTACAACAACTCGGTATACTCATAAATTTCGTTGGAAATTGAAAAAAAATCTACTTTAATATTAGAAGCAATTGTTTTTCAAGTACTCTTTTTTCAGGTTTGTGAATGTAACTATTTTGTATAAAAATAGATAAAGTTTTGTTTTGTATAAATAGAATATATATATATATATATATATATATATATTTTAAGTCTTGAATTTGATGTTGATATGTTTAATTTGAGTTTAAAATTCGGGCGTAACATCAATAAAAATAGTATGAGAGTTTTTTTAAAAGTTTATTTATTTAAAATCCATACGTTTCGGCTAGCATCTTAGCCATCATTCAAATTAAAATTTTGTATCCTAATGTGTCCTTGTATCATATGCTATATTAGGATACAAAATTTTAATTTGATTACCACTGAATGATGGCTAAGATGCTAACCGAAACGTATGGATTTTAAATAAACTTTAAAAAAAACTTTCATACTATTTTTATTTATGTTACGCCCGAATTTTAAACTCAAATTGAATATATATATATATATATATATATAATTTATATTATTAATATATTATTTATATTAATTATAAACATGTACACGCAGCTGAATTCGAATAATAAATTGTCAAATATAAATATTTAGCGAACAAAAAAAAAATAAAATAAATTATATATATCCGAGTTTGTAAGTTTATGTTATAAATTAACCAATGTATTGAAATATTTCTTTAATAAATATATTTAAACGAGAGAAAAACAGAATTTTGATGCAAAAATCTTTTTGAAAATGAATTATTTACCTAATTTTTGTAGAAAATTCTATATAAAATAATAATTATATATATAAATTCAGAGATGTTAAAGTTATTTAATATAGTTTGTTATAAAATAAAGAAGTATGAACACGATTTGTTGTACAAATAGCTCTATAGCAAATCATTTGTCTGTGAAAGTTATATTTGTTAACAAAATAATTAGTATAAATTATTATTTACTTTCATACGTAAATAAATAAATTAAATAAACAATACTTATAAATTTAGCAAGCCTTCAGTTTTGTATTTAAAAAACAATTTTTGTAAAATGTCGTGCACCCTCGGACTAACCGTCTTTTATGTCTTACCATCTTCGACTAATGCACCAAATTCGAACAACCTGAACTTATCCACACTTCCCCGCATACTAATTACATAATAAATGGCGCCAAATTCAAAACATTTAATTGTCACATTTCAAAACAGCACACACCAACAAGCCAAATCATCAAAAACCTACAAAGGTCATTAATAATTGACCCTCGAGTCACAAACGTTGTGTTCAACCCAAATTACCCGAATTTTATCTCAAACTTCATCCTTTGTTGACCTTCACCTAGCAAACATTGACAGCACATAAATTAACAAAAAGGGTTGTGATTAAAAATGGCTCAAAGGACATTAAAATGCAAAATAGGACCGTCGATTTTAAATGCAGATCTGTCACAATTGCATAGGGAATCTCAATTGTTGTTGGACTGTGGGGCGGATTACCTGCATTTAGATGTTATGGATGGGCACTTTGTACCTAACCTAACATTTGGACACCCGTTTGTGAAATGTTTGAGGAATAAAATAAGGGATGCTTTTTTTGAGACTCATATGATGGTACAGGACCCACTAAAGGTAGTAATAGACTCACAATAGTAGTTGACAGTTTAGATCATTATATTTTAGGAGTCTTTTGTGTGTGACATTTGTTTCCACACTTGAATTACACTTTGTCAACTGATATTTTCCCAATATATACACATATACTGTTTGTAATCCATTTTTGCTTTTATTAGATCTATATAATTATATTTTTAGTGGATAGAACCCATGGCAGATTGTGGAGTAAACCAATACACATTCCACGTAGAACCAGTGCATGACATTTCATACACATGCAGAAAAATTCGAGAAAGCGGTATGAAGGTACTAAATTCAACTCCTACAACTCCTTTATCACACAATAAATATCTATTATTATTATTATATTATATATATATATATATATATATATATATATATATATATATATATATCATATTAAAAATGTATTTCTTTTATCTCAGGTCGGTTTAGCCTTAAAACCAGCCACACCGGTTGAAGTCATCGCAAAATACATTCCCTTATCAGACATGGTTCTTATAATGACAGTTGAACCAGGATTTGGTGGCCAAAAATTCATGAATGATATGATGTCAAAAGTTCAGTGGCTGAGGGAGCATTACCCCAATTTAGATATAGAAGTCGATGGTGGTGTAGGATTGTCTACTATTAGTGCTTGTGCAGAGGTAAGAGATAATAATATAACTCTCATTCTTGAATACAAATTTTTATGTATATTTTATCTATTACAGGCTGGTGCGAATATGATTGTGTCAGGGACTGCAATAACAGGTGCATTAGATAAAAGACAAACGATTGCCACACTTAGAGAAACTGTGGAAAGCTCCATCCATAAATGTAATGTTTAATGTTTAATTTTAAAACTAAAATACTAAATGAACTAAATGAATTTATGATGTCTCTCTTAGATAGATAAAAGTAGAAATATGTTACAATCAATATATCGTAAGAGATTAATATTCCATGTTATGCATTATGGTGCCAAAATAATTATTTTAATAAGGGATATATAATTATAATACATTATATATATATATATATATATATATATAATATATATATATCCAATATATTCAATAGATAAGTCCTGGATTTTTTCAATATATTGTTTTTTTTTCTGAACAGTAAATCCAATATAAAAAACAATTTGTTTTTTGAAGATGTTTAGTAACGACGTTTTGGAACTAGATATGTTCCATCATCAGGTATATTCTGTCAAAGACAATGTTTTTTTGATTATTTAGACAAATTATAAAGGAATGGATTATGTACCAGTGTAAAGAGTGAAGAAAAGTATCTAAAAAAGGTTTTTATATAAAATTGAGACAGGTAAATAATGTTTGCTTCTCAATTTTATATAAAAGCCTTTTTATACTATATATATATATATATATATATATATATATATATATATTTATACTTATTTTACTATTATATATATATATATATATATATATATATAATAGTAAATTTTATCTAGTTTTTATTTATACAAAACAAAACTTTATCTATTTTTATGCAAAATAGTTACATTCACAAAACTGAAAAAAGCACTTGAAAAAAAATTGCTTCTAATATTGCAGTAGATTTTTTTCAATTTCCAATGAGATTTATGAGTATACCGAGTTGTTGTAGGACTTTGTAATGTTAGACGATGTTAAAGATTATTTAATTTTGTACAAATTTGCCAAAAGATTCATTTACATTAGACAAACCGTTCAAAAATTACAAGAGATACAATAAAAAAAGTGCATATACATACTTCAATAGTACATGTTTTTTAGGTTCTAGTAAACAGTTTTTACTACCAATCATAACATTTCTATTTTATCAGAAAAATGGCCCTAAACTTCTCAAATCTTGTACATCATTGATTGAAACTCCTTTTATATCAATGAATTAAGCAACTCAAAATTGTTTTCAATATTCTCACAAAAGTGTACTTTTTTAGATACTTTTCTTCACTCTTTACACTGTTACATAATCCATTTCTTTACAATTTTTCTAAATAATTTGTAATAACCATCAATAATGAATGTTAATCAATAGTTTATAAAAAAAACATTGTCTTTGACAGAATAAACCTGATGATGGAACGTATCTAGTTCCAAAACGTCGTTACTAAACATCTTCAAAAAACAAATTGTTTTTTATTATTGGATTTACTGTTTGGAAAAGAAACAATCAATATTTATATATATATATATATATATATATATATATATATATATTATTTAGGTTGTCAAATATCTCCCTTCCGCTTTTTTGCCTTGCATTGCATACAAAAGGCGGAAGGGAGATATTTGACAACCTATATATATATATATATATATATATATATATATATATATATATAATGTATAATGTATAAATATCTTTCATAGGTCCCTTTAATTTAAGTCCTTGTTGAAAATGGTCTTATTTTAATTGCCTAATTACAATTAATGGCCTAAAATATTCCATTCTGTTTATGACTTTTTTTAAACCTTGTTTTCATTTTTATAAAGAAATATATTTTTGTAAAACATTTGCCTAGTATTTTTTTTGAATGAAAATGATCCTTCCGGTTTCAAAAATAAAAGTAGAGACAGGTCAACTGTTAAGTTGCTTTCTAAAAGTAGTTAAGACTACAACAAGCTTAAAGCACTATTAAAAGTTTTGTTTGTTAATAATAATAGTGGTAATAATAACTAGATGTAAGTTAATATTCGTTAAATCGTGTCTGAATATGCTGAAAAATGTCTGAGAGTGATTGTGGAATGTCTTGCAGCGTTTTGGGGTGCCTGAGAGTGTTGTTAAAGGGCCTGTACGAGTTGTAGAGTTCTCAAAAACATGTTCTCAAAAGTCTGAGAGTGTTGTAAAGTGTTGCAGACTTAATGTATTGTTAAAACGCCTGAACGTATTTTAAATTGCTTGAAAGTGTTTAAATTGCCTAAAAATATTTTAAATCACTTGAAAATGTTGCATTTTGCTTTGCTTAAATATGTTGAAAATGCTGAATATTCTTTGGAAGTGTTGTAGATTATCTGAAAGTGTTGGAACTTTACTAAAAGTGTTGCATTTTGTTTGAAAATGTTGCGTATTTTTTAAAAATGTTGCATATTGCTTGAAAATATCGCTTGAAAATGTTGCATTTTGCTTAAATATGTTGAAAATGCTGTATACTCTCCAAAAGTGTTGTAGGTTATCTGAAAGTGTTGCAACTTGACTAAAAGTGTTGCATTTTATTTGAACATGTTGTGTATTTTTTAAAACTGTTGCATATTGCTTGAAAATGTTGTATAATGCTTGAAAATGTTGCATTTTGCTTAAATATGTTGAAAATGCTGTATATTCTCCAAAAGTGGTGTAGATTATCTGACAGTGTTGCAACTAGACTAAAAGTGTTGCATTTTGTTTGAACATGTTGGGTATTTTTTAAAAATGTTGCATATTGCTTGAAAATGTTGTATAATGCTTGAAAATATCGCTTGAAAATGTTGCATTTTGCTTAAATATGTTGAAAATGCTGTATATTCTCCAAAGATTATTTAAAAGCGTTGCAACTTGACTAAAAGTGTTGCATTTTGTTTGAACATGTTGAGTATATTTTAAAATATTGCATATTGCTTAAAAATGTTATATAATGCTTGAAATTATTGCTTGAAAATATTGCAGTTTGCATTAAAAATATTGCATTTTGCTTGAAAATGCTGTATGTTTTCTGAAAGTGCAAGCAACTTGTCTGAAATTGTTGCAACTCTTCTAAAATTGCTGCAACTTGTCTGAAATTGTTGCCACTCGTCTAAAATTGTTGCCACTCTTCTGAAATTGTTGCAACTCGTCTGAAAATTATTTTGCAACTCGTCCAAAATTGTTGCAACAGGCCCAAAATTGTTTCAACTCGTCTGAAATTGTTGCAACTCGTCTGAAAATTTGGCAACTCGTCTGAAAATTATTTTGCAACTTGTCTGAAAATGTTGCAACTCGTCCAAAATTGTGGCAACTCGTCCAAAATTGTGGCAACTCGTCCAAAATTGTGGCAACTCGTCCAAAATTGTTGCAACTTATCGGAAACTATTGCAACTTATCTGAAAATGGTATGCTTTGTCTAAAAATATTGTAGATTTTCTAAAAGTGTAGTAGACACCTGAAAAACATATTGAATCTATATTTACAAGTGAAAATGGAACAAACGCACGAGACAGTGCGCTCAACCGTCACACCATAAACACCCCTGGTTAACAATAATAGTAAAACGCTCTCTTACTTTTCATCTAATCAAATTTACTCATATCAATATCCTTTACAACTTGTTTAACACCTGTATCGGTGCTCTGTGCAATGTCTGCATTCTGGACAAATTCCTTACATTTGTGTTTGGGTTTCATTTTATCCTGAAGGACTGCTAAACTGATCAAGATAGCTTCTTCAGTACGAATGGTCCTCGAACCCTGATTAGGGATCGTGTTTAAATATTCGTCGAACAACAAACTTGGGTCGTCGGCTGTTAGATTGTCATCGCTTTCTAGAGCTGTTTCTAAACCCAGGAGGCCCCCGAAGACTATAATAGCATGATCGTAAGATAGAGATTCTTTTTGTTTTTCTAGAATAGAGTCGCCTTTGTCTGAGGTTCCTATTAGTAAATCGTACCTAGAAATATATGGTAAGATTTTATAGTTTTGCAGTGAAGTAGATGTTGTAAAGTGTCATTGTCTATCTATTATCATCTTACCCCTTCTTGTAAGGTGACTGTGTGAAGACTTCGCTTAAACTATTTGCAATCCTAACAGTGTACCCCCAATACACTCCTGTTTCAGCCCTAGGTCTGCTCGGGGACACAATGAGGCCCTTCATTTTTTTCTCGTTTTCAGTATTACACGAATTTAATTTCACAGTAACTCTTAGACCGGCAGTAAGAGTTTTATCGACAGTCACGTCGTTGAGAAGTCCCACATTGACGATGGAACCTTTTCCAACTTTTGTGGGCTTGTTTGTTACTACACCCTCCCTGAGGTAAATGATACAATGAAAAAAGAATTAGCTAGTAATAAAAAAAGACTTAACCCAATCGACGACTTTCAAATATAGTTGTAATAAACATTTTTAATGAATTTGTAGTAAACGAGCTTATGGGGCACAACTAGTGTAACCGCCTAAAAAAAGGTGATTTTTGGGAATTTATATTAGAAAAACTACTTTATCAATCATTTCAAAATTTTAGAAATATATTTATACATGCTTTAAGAATACTTAGTAAAATTTTTGAAGAAAAAAATTAAATATTTTTTAAGTTATCGTCGATCTCCAACGGCGCGACAAAAAAAACGCCCTTCACTGCTGCAGTGATTCCGGCCTTCTACGTGGATGAAATTTAAAAAAAAACAAATTCTCGTTAAACTAGATAATATTGTCTGTAAAATGAACTACGATAAAGAAAACAAATCAAAAATTGACAAAATGACGGCGTTTTTTTAAAAAAGTCGAATTTTACCCAAAATTTTGGTCCAAAAATTCGATTTTTGATCCGATCAAAAAATCAAAAGTTCATTTTACGGAGAACTATATATAGAACATGTAAAAAAAATTGAAAGTGATTCGGATCATTTGTTTTTGAGTAATCGCTGCAGCAAATTCGGAAAATGCAGTTTCGAGAAAAACGCGTTTAAAGATAAAACGATCGTTATACTGTATACTATATATATATATACTCTTTAAATGGCTGTGACTCAAAAACTATTTAAGATATCGATTTAAAATTTTGGTATGTTATTTTTAAAGGTATAACCTATCGAAATATGGAAAAATTGAAAATTCGATTTTTTGAAAATTTTACACTAGTTGTACCCCTTAAAGAAGTTTTACTTAAAAAATTTGGTTGTATCTGTTATGGCATGTGGGGTATCGTTTGAAAGGTCTTCAGTTCTAAACTCAATATTGAATTAAAATCTATCTTTTTTCATATAACTATATCACATATGATTTTAAATTTTGCCGCCGTTAAATTTGAAGTTGAAGTTGTTTCTGGTGTTGACCAATCAGAACGAAGTAGTAGAACTGTCAAATTGTCAAAGTGTGTAAATAAAGCAAACAAAAATATAAAATAATAACGAAAAGGTTAGTGTTAGTATTATAACATATTAATAATTATCAAAATATATTCGTTACACGTTCCTAACACATAAATTATAAGGCTTTTCAACTTTTAGACAGACATAGTTAGATAGCAAATAATTTAACCTACAAAAGTTAAAAATGTCTGAAGAAATAAATTCAAACACAACAATTAAAATTGAACCGATCGAATATCCTCAAGTTAAACAAGAATTTGATGATTATAAAATTGATGAAATTTGTCCACAGCAATTTCTAAAATCAGAGGTTACGGTTGAGGAGGATATAAAGCAAGAAATCATCGATGAGCAAGATTTTAAACAAGTGAGACAAGAGGTTGATGATTATGAATATACATCAAATATGAGTGTGGAGAATGATGAAATATGCCTACAGCAATTCCTAAAATCTGAAGTTACAATTGATGAGGAAATTACACAAGAAAAGATTGATGGGCAATATGCTGTGGCTAATACAAGTTTAGGTAAAAAATCTTACATATTTAATGAAGACATCAGTATTTCTAATATTTCATCTAAAAGCGTTTCTGAAAAATGTACAACAAACAATAATCGAAAACCCTATAGTTGTGAAATATGCCATAAAACATTTGCACAAAAAGAATCAATAAAACGACATCAAATTATTCACACTGGAGAACGTCCTTATGAATGTGAAATATGCAGCAAAACATTCAAAACAAACTCACATTTAAACGAGCATAAAACAATCCATACTGGAGAGCGTCCCTATGAGTGTGAAATATGCAATAAAACATTTACAGCAAAAAGATTTTTAAACGAACATAAAAAGATTCACGCTGGACAAATTCATGAGTGTAAAATGTGCAATAAAAGTTTTGCAATAAAAAATTCATTAATACGACATACCAAAAGGGTGCATGCTGGATTGCCTCCAAACTGTTGCAAAATTTGCAATACAGCATTTGCAACAATAGGTACATTAAGACAACATGAAAAAGGGATACATGATGGAGTATGCCCTGCAAGAATGCAATCAACAAAAATTTTGATTATTCCAAGCTTTACGCCTACTCAAAATATATTGTGAGGGTATTAATTGTAATTTATAAATTATATATTTCAGTAAAAATTCTGTTATTCATAAAAGACTATTGAATTTTTTATTTGAGAGAAACCTTATGAATGTGAAATATGCAATAAAAATTTCACAACAAAGGAAAACTTAAGCAGACATAAGAGTGGGAACTGAAGAACGAGACTATTGTATGTAATTTATTAATATACACATATAAATAAAGTTGGAGCATGTTTTTTGTACAATATATTGTGCAGCTAGTTTACATTAATATAATAAAGTTCAAATTTTGCATAAGATTCGATCATAATCCATTTTTCCATATAACTATATGACATATGATTTTAAATTTTGCCGCCGTTAACCACGTGGTTTAAATAATTTTGGTGTTGCCCAATCAGAACTAAGAAGAAATGTCAAAGTGTTAAATAAAGTAAAGGAAAATATAAAATAATAACGAAAAAGTCAGTGTTAGTATTATAACATGATGATAAATATCATAATATATTTATTACACGTTCACAACACATAAATTACAAGTCTTATCGGCTTTTAGGCATACATCGTTAGATAGCATTTACCATAACCTATAAAAGTTGAAAATGTCTGAAGAAACAAATTCAAACACAACAATTAAAGTTGAACCGAACGAATATCCTCAAATTAAACAAGAACTTAAAGATTATGAAAATACAACAGGCATTTGTATGGAAAATGATGAAATTTGTCTACAGCAATTTTTAAAATCTGAGGTTACGGTTGAGGAAGATATGAAGCAAGAAATCATTGATGAACAAGATTTTAAACAAGATCCTCAAGTGAAAGAAGAGTTTGATGATTATGAATATACATCGAATATGAGTATGGAGAATGATAAAATATGCCTACTGCAATTTCTAAAATCTGAACTTACGATTGATGAGGAAATGAAGCAAGAAAACATTGATGGGCAAAATGCTGCGACAACTACAAGTTTAGATGAAAAATCTTACATATATAATGAAAACGTCAGTAATTCAAGTAATATGAGCAAACCATTCAAAAATGGTAGTCTAAAACCCTATAGTTGTGAAATATGCCATAAAGCATTTGCACAAAAAGAATCAATAAAACGACATCAAGTTATTCACACTGGAGAACGTCCTTATGAATGTGAAATATGCAGTAAAACATTCAAAACAAACTCACATTTAAACGAGCATAAAATGCTTCATACTGGAGAGCGTCCCTATGAGTGTGAAATATGCAATAAAACATTTACAGCAAAGAGATTTTTAAACGAACATAAAAAGATTCACAGCGGAGAACGTCCTTATAGTTGTAAATTATGTAAAAAATCATTCAAAACAAAGCAACATTTAAATGAGCATGAGGTAATTCACACTGCAGAAAGACCTTATGAATGTGAAATATGCAATAAAACTTTCAAAACAACGCAACATTTAAGCAGACATAAAAGAGTTCACATTAAAGAACACCCTCATCACTGTAAAATATGCACAAAAAGATTCAGGACAAAAGATTCATTAACACGACATGAAATTACTCACACTGGAGAACTCCCTCATGAGTGCAAAATATGCAAAAAGAGATTTTCACACAAAGAATACCTAAAAAAGCATTCATCAGTGCATATGGAAAAACGTCCTCATAGTTGTGAAACATGCGATAAAACATTTAGAACAGAAGGGTTGTTAAACCAACATAAAATAACTCACACAGGAGAGCGTCCTTATAGTTGTGACATGTGCAATAAAACATATGCAAGAAAAGAATTACTATTACGACATAAAAAAGTTCACACTGGAAAATAAATAAATAAATCTTTATAACTGTGAAAAATGCAATAAAACATTTACAGTAAAAGATTCATTAAAATAACATAAGATTATTAACACTGGAGAACTTACTAAAGTGTAATAAATAATTTAAAAGAAAAGATGCATTAAAACAACATGAAAAAGGAGCACATGCAAAAAAAATTAAAAAAAAAATATTCATATATATATATATATATATATATATATATATATATATATGAGGGTATTTTTTATTTCCTTGACAACTCTGTAACTCATAAAAGAATATTGTATGTAATTGTTTAACCAATAAATAAAATTTGAGTTTCTATAATGTTGAAATAACTGTTTTTTAATACATGCATATGAATATAAATAGTGTAATATTTACTAATTAATATATTTTAAAATTATTGTCTAGGAAATGGATAGACTAATTTTGATGGGACTTTTTTGAAATCATTAGGCTACTTTTATTTTATTACTACTAGGAATAATGTAGCTTATATTATCTAGCAGTATCCAAGATTATTTCGTCCGGGTTTTAAAAAAGGATTAATTAGTTAGATTTTGCATTTTATCTAATCTGAATTCAAAATATTTCAACAATCTTATATAAATAAATAAATTCTTATATGAATTCTTATATATATATATATATATATATATATATATATATACAATAATGAATAGATAAAGGCATTTCTTCTAATTAGAAAACTTTACAAACAAGAATTTAATATAAAAAACTGACAATTAAAATAAGTATAATTCAATCACTTACCTAAATATAAAATCATTCTTCTGCCTCAAATGATGTGGTGCATCCAAAGGATTCAAAACTCCCGCAAATTTCAAATCACTATGTATAGGAAAAAAATGCTTTCTCAAATACTGCGGACATTCCAAATACTGCAAAATCCTTGCAAGTTGAACACAAGACTGTCTAGCAGTCTTAACACCTTCCTCATCTTCCAATTTACTCTTTTTGGCATTAACAGCATCAGGACAATCATCGAAAACAACCACTTCATCAACTTGAAAGACGCAAGCTGCCCTTGCAATCTGTCCGGCCAAGTATGTCCTGAGTTCAGGAGATTGAGCATTTTCCAAGATCGAACCTGGTACTGCAATGGCTAACGTGGACACGGGTTGCAGGGGTTCTAATTCGGGTTCTGGGGGCTTTTGAAGGGCTTCTTGTTCAAGCTTTAACTTTTTGGCGAGCTTTTCTTCTGTGCGCTTTTTACGTTCTTCTTTTCTGGTTTTGTTGAATTCTTTCCAGCTGCCATTTTGGGGCGCAGTAGTTGTCATGGTAAAAGACCTAGGAAAGGAAAAATATGATGTATATTCAATAATTATACACACCGATTACATTTAATAACTACTATAAGTGATCATAATTAAGAACTATATATTACTATTGATAAATAAAACAATGGTTTAAAATGGACAAAGTACATATAGGTTAGGTTACAAGAAACATAACTTTAAACCATAAAACTATGCAAATAAGTACTTTTTGAGTACAGGATTTGTGAAAACTACTGTTTGCAAATAACGAGTACAAATATAATCCTTGATCACTTTAAACTAACTAAATTTAATTTCAGAATTCAAATTAATAGGATTCTAAGTACAAACTTACGAATTGATTTTATTATTTATAAGATATTCAATTATTGCACACACTGATCACACTTAATCACTACTATAAGTAAATTTATTATTGCAAGTTAATTTAATTTATAACTATATATTTATATTTATTTATTAAAACGATGTTTTCAAAATGGACACTTTATAGGTTATGTTACAAGAAATGTCACTTCGCACGTGCGTGAAGTCAGTGTTGTCAAACGTCAAAACATACTTACAAAAACTTAACATTTTATTTAAAAAATGAGTAGTGCAAAATATTGTAGAATATTAATTTAAATCACTTTTTTTTTATATGTATTTATATTTTTATATTACATTAGCTGTGTAATGAATAAATAAGCTTTTATTTCGTACACCAAACCTTCAATTGGACATCTTGGTTTTAACATTTCTGAAGTTGGTTTCAAATTCAAAATGTCAGTGTAGTGTACAAATACATTTGTGTACTTTAATGCAAAAAAACTGCAGATAATACATGTTTATTACATCAAGTGCCAATCAATAATCATAATTCACCTTATATATAATAAATATTAATATAAATCAGTTTATTATGCATGAAAGACTCGAAATCCGTTCCGCCAAAATTCCATCACCTCCTGGTAAGCAAATCCATTACAATTGCTATCGTCACAGTTTTATTTATCGTTTATCATTTAATTCCAGAAATGAGACGCAAGAATCAACAGTTTTATATTTGACCTAGAGTTCGTTCGTTTGCCCTTTGAGCTTTTTAGAAATTAGATAGATAATTTTCAATTCAAGACTTTTATTTGATCATAATGACTCTGCTGGCTATAAAATATGAACATGGGAAGTTGGAGATTCTGGATCAACTTTTGCTCCCGATTCAGTCTAAATATATTTCTGTTAAGGGAGTCGAGGATGGGTGGAGGGTTATTAATAAAATGCAGGTGGGTAAGGATAGTTAAAATATATATTATAGAACAGATATTTTATTTAAGAGTTGAGATAATGATGTCTAGTTTATATTTCAAATAATACATATCGTGTGTTACCCAGTACCAAAATAGAAATGATCACTTTTTCAACATTTCATTGAACCCACATTTATTCAATATTAATCCCAGTATTTTTATAGATAAACTTGTACATTATAAGACATATTTCTGAAAGTATGCCTGGTTACAAGAAACATAACATTAAACTATAAAACTATACAAATAAGTACTTTTTGAGTACAGGTTTTCAAAAGAGTACTGTTTGCAAAAAAACGAGTACAAATATTATCATTGATCCCTTTACACTAACTAAATTTAAATTAATAATCAACGTACTGAAAGCAGTATATTTTTCTGAAATTTTTTTAATGATATAAATAAGCGATCTGATCAAAGTATTATATTTAAATGTTAAATCAAATTCAATATTACATTTTTCTTTGTATTGTATTGAAGTCTAAATACAATTGACTCATAAAAAATTGAATTGAAGTTGAATTCTCCTCAGGATTTTATTTATCTTTTAATAACTATTAAGTTCGAAGAATAAGTATAAGATAATATTTTTTTATTTATTTTATAACTTTTAAACCATTAAATTAAAATAGAAATATGCATTTTATTACTATTGCTGTTCTAAATTAATAATCTGTTCTGTAATCTATATTTTTTCAAATCTTTTATTAATTTTGTAGTCAATTTCTTTGAAAAATTTGCTTTTATTATGTAGAACAACATAGTGCTCATTGAAATATTGTAATTGACATAAAAATTACCTCCAAAAAAATTATTTCAGTTGAATTTATGGTAATATATATATATATATATTGAATTTTGTGATATGATTGAAAGGAATATTAAATGTTAAATATGAACAATACAACACTCAGATTTTTAACACACACTTTACTTGGTAATTACAGACGTTTCGAGACCATGGTATGCCTCATCTTCAGTGTAAATTCAAAAACAGTTACACATTCTTTAATATTTTATTTAAATTACATTTAATTTTTGAAAATACAAAAAACACCAACTATCTCTTGCAGAGCTTGACACAGTACTAAAACATTTGAATAGATACAGAAATATTTTAAACAAATCTTGTATCGTTCATATTTAACATTTAATATATATATATATATATATATATATATATATATATATATACATAATTTTTTTCCCTCAGGTTCGAGGAGCTCCAGCCATAGCTATAGTTGGATGCCTTTCTCTTGCCATTGAAATTCTTGGACAGGTCTTTGATAGCAAAAAGTTTTTGCGTCAAGAGGTAAATAAACAGAACAATACACATATAATATATTTGACATATAATTTTTATATTTATTTATTAGATTGAAGGTAAATTAAATTATTTGGTATCATCACGACCGACAGCAGTAAATATGAAAATTGCAGCTGATGAATTAATTGAACTGGCAAACACTTTGGATAAAAATGAGGATATATCTGTTGATGAGATGAAGGAAAAGTATGATTATATTATATATATATATATATATATATATATATATATATATATTGTTAAGGTTTTCAGCCACAAGTCGAAAAAATAAAAGCAGAAAGTAAATATAAAATCTTCTTTAATACGTTTTGAGCTATTATACTAGCTTATCATTCGCCTAAAATACAAAAAAGTAATAAAATAAAGTAACAAAATAAAACAGAATTAAAATTGTATGTACCAAACCAGTTTAAAATTATTTTTTTATATAAAATTTGACAATTATAACACCAATATTTCCTATTGTGAAAAAGAAGAAGAAAAGAAAACATCAAGTTTTTTTACCACTTGTTCAAATATTAAAAAAATCAGACTTACATTCATTAATTAAATTTTGATAACTGTCAAAAAGCATAGAAGAAGAACTTCTCTTATTTACACATTGTGAATTTAAAAAAATGAAAACAGATTCAGCAAACCTTAGGTCAACATTTTGTTCAATATATAAAATAACGGGATTGTTTAAATCAAAAGTGTGTTTAAAATTTTGCATATGGTCTGAAAGCATTGTTTTGTATTGATTTTTATTTTTTGATTTATAACTATGTTGAAGCATTCTCTTAGATATATATTGTGAACTCTCTCCAATATAGAATTATTTCAATTCACTTTGTAATAATCAAGATATATATATATATATATATATATATATATATATATATATATATGATTTAGTAGTTAATTTTGATGTTGAAATATATGAGTGAGTTCTTGAGGGCGATACATCAAACAAAGAAAAGCCAAAGATTTATAAAATAATCTTTATTTCCAAACGTTTCGACATTCAATTTAATGTCATCATCAGTGGATCTAAAAACAGTATGAAAATTAGCATATCTAGGTAATTATAATATATGTGGATTGGTAAAGTAACTATACAATAAGAGAAAAATTAACAAATAGCAACACTTAACAACAAACCAAATATAAAAGATAGGAAAGGTAGTAGAGACTAGAATTAAATAAATAATTAAAAAGTATAGGCAAAAATATTTAAGTACACTCATATAAACTTACGCATATATACATATATGTACGTACACATATACACACATATACATATATATATATATACATATATATATATATATATATATATATATACATGCATATATCCATATACACACACATACAAACATATAATACACATATACATATCATTTTAGATCCACTGATGATGACATTAAATTGAATGTCGAAACGTTTGGAAATAAAGATTATTTTATAAATCTTTGGCTTTTCTTTGTTTGATGTATCGCCCTCAAGAACTCACTCATATATATATATATATATATATATATATATATATATATATATATATGTATTTATCTATTTATTATTTTAGATTTGTCCAAGCCATAGAAGCAATGCTGCAAAAAGACATAGCTGATAATAGAGCTATAGGCGAATACGGAGCTACAGCTATTTTAAACGAATCAGCAAAAGATTCAGTGTCTGTATTGACACATTGTAATACTGGTTCTTTAGCAACTGCCGGGTAAGAAAAATTAATTATTAACTCTCTATATATAGCATTTATATTTTTATAATCAACTAGATGACCTGACAGACGTTGTCCATGTGTGCAATTTTTTAATATAATATACTAATATTTACCGTTTACCTTAAAATAATAATTATTGTTTTTTAAATTACTCTTCACACCAAAATGCATATACATTTATAATATGTTGAGTTATGCACTTACCAACACATTTTGCAATTTATTTTTATATTTTAGATTAATATTAAAATGTTATGTATATATTGTTCTATGTTGTATCGTTATTATTATATGGTTTGAAATAAATATGTTAGAAATAAGAAATCGAAATTCCTTGCTCCTAGGGGCTCAAATATTTCCAAATAAATAAAAAAAAAATCTCTGGCTTTTCTTCCTAAGTAAATACTTATTTTATGAAATATATCAAATTTTTGTAACAAGAAAATTCGAAAATATCCATATTAAGGACCACCCTAATGTATATAAAAACTATTATATTTTTTTAATTGAATTTAAATCTATTTCCTTTCTAGTTATGGAACTGCCCTAGGTGTCGTACGATCCATACAAGAACGAAATAAATTAGGTATTAAATTAATGAATATCTAACAAAAAAAATATAAAGTTTGAATGTTTGATTATAAATTTTATTCCCCAGATCATGTTTTTTGCACTGAAACTCGTCCGTACAATCAAGGAGCCCGATTGACAGCTTTTGAATTAGTCCATGACAAATTGCCTGCTACTTTAGTTTGTGATAGTATGGTTGCTGCGTTGATGAGGACGAAAAGCCTGGATGCTGTTGTTGTTGGAGCAGATAGGGTGAGTAAAACTTCTTTAGGCGCGACTAGGGTGTAATGCAACGGAAGTGCGTTACGGTAGATAAGATGAGATAAGAGTCGAGTGCCGATGATTTGTCATTCGCTCTCGATGATATCTTTTCTATACGGGTCGATTGTGATTAGTCGTCGCGTATGTGAATAGAGATCTGTCGTTGTATGCGTACCGATATCAACAAGGAAATCGGCATAGATAAATGAATATTTTAAAGTTACATCGTAGTACAAATCTTGATTTAATACAACGGTTTCCAAACTGTGGGGCGCCAGACTGTCCTAAGGGGGGCGCGTACAATTGTTTCCAGAATACTATTATCGAAAATAACCCAACATTTTTGGAACGTTATTAAAAATTAAACAAAAAACATTTAGTTTTTATGAATATTTTTACATAATATTGCATATTAATTTGTAGTCTGATAATATCAGTTGAGTATTTATAAAATTAAACAGTTAAAAAAAAATAAGGGGGGGCGCAGCTATTTTTTTTATATTTGCAGGGGGCGCGATGCAAAAAAGGTTGGAAACCGCTGATTTAATGAAAAATGCCTGAATCAAGAAAATATTTTACTCTGTTCCTTGAATATAATAAAACAAATTAAACATTTGTGCCGTGTACTAAACGTAAGTTTATTGATTAGAATTTATTTCTATATTATTCGTAGTTTCTATATTTCATTTTGTGTATTAATTTGCATTTCTCTATTTTTATTATGTTATTAAGTGAATGATTATTTGTTTCTGTCTGTAAGTTATTGGTGGGTGTTAAATATGGAATATTAAATGCTATTTTTATGGCTTTATTCATTATTCTCTGTATGTCATTTAGGTTAGATTCAGTTTTTTGGCTCCATGTTGTTATTCCATATAAAATTATAGGTATTACTTGCGTTTTAAGAATTAGTTTCTTATATTAAAGAATTACATTATATCGCCAGCGAAAAAGTATAAAAAATACAAGCAGTCAATGAATGCATGTTAATTTTAGTTACATGAAGTTCTTCAAACACAATTGTTACATTATGAGTGAAGTTGCAAAAACAATATTTGTTTAGTCGTTTTTTTTTTGACGAAACAGTGGATCCTTTTCAAAGCCTCTGTTAATGTTCCTATCTTTCTTTTTATATTGTTCATATGTTCTGCCCACGTCAGTTTTTCATTTATTATCAGTTCTAAGTATTTTATGCTTTCCACTTCTTCTATTTCTGTATTATTTACTTTAATATTTAATTTAGTGTTCCCGGTATTTTGTTTAGGTTTGAAATATTAGGTTGTCAAATATCTCCCTTCCGCTTTTTTGCTCTTGGTTTAATACAAAAAGGCGGAAGGGAGATATTTGACAACCTTATATATGTATTTTGTTTTATCGATGTTAATTGTCAGTTTATTTCCAATTATCGACTCAGAGTATATCCTCATGGCCGTGTTTATAGTATCTTCCCATTTAATATGTATCTTCCCTTTAATTTTGCGTCTTCAAGGCTATTGGTGTATAATAGATATAATAAAGGTCCTAATACAGAACCTTGTGGAACTCCACAGGTTATGCTACATCCTCCACTTGTGAAATTTCCCACCTTCGTCCTTACCACTCTTTTCATGAGGAAATCTTTGATAATGCTGTAAGATAAACCCTATACACCCAAATCTTATAATTTTAACCAAAATTTTTAAATTTTAAAGTTACATCCTAGTACAAATCTTGATTTAATGAAAAATGCCTGAATCAGAAGAATATTTTACCCTGTTCCTTGAAAATAATAAAACAAATTAAACATTTGTGTAGTAAACGTATGTTTATTGATTACAAATTATTTCTATATTATTCGTAAATAAGAAGGGTCTCTACTGACGACCAAACTAAAAGTGAAAAAGGTGGGGGACTCTACTGACGAGCAAAATAAAAATAAAATTCAAAGAGACTCTACTGATGATTAAATTAAAGTTAAAGGTAAAAGGGACTATACTAACGAGCAGAGTGAAAGGGACTCTACAGACGAGCAAAACTAAATTTTTTTTTGGTTTATTGTTCATAGCAAAAAATACACAAAACTAAAAATAAAAGAAAAATAAACTCTACTTGTAATTAAATTAAAAATAAAAGAAAATGGGACCCTCCTGACGAGCAAACTAAAAATTAAAGAGAAAGGGACTCTACTGACGACCAAATAGAAATAAAATTCAAAGAGACTACTGATGATTAAATTGATAATTAAAGGAAAAAGAAAAAAAAAGACTCTACTAACGAACAAAATTACTAATTAGAAAAAGGGACCCTCCTGACGAGCAAACTAAAAATTAAAGAGAAAGGGACTCTACTGACGACCAAATAGAAATAAAATTCAAAGAGACTACTGATGATTAAATTGATAATTAAAGGAAAAAGAAAAAAAAAGACTCTACTAACGAACAAAATTATTAATTAGAAAAAGGGACCCTCCTGACGAGCAAACTAAAAATTAAAGAGAAAGGGACTCTACTGACGACCAAATAGAAATAAAATTCAAAGAGGCTACGGATGATTAAATTAATAATTAAAGGAAAAAGAAAAAAAAGGACTCTACTGACGAGCAAAATTGAAAATGAAAAAAAAAGGACTCTACTGACGAGCATACCAAAAAAATAAAATTAAAAAGGGACTCTACTGACGAGCAAAATAAAAATAAAATTCAAAGATACTCTACTGATGATTAAATTAAAAATTAAAGAAAAACGAACTCTACTGACGAGCAATCTAAAAATAACATTAAAAAGGGACTCTACTGACGAGCAAAACTAAAAATAAAATCAAAAATAGACTTGTAGTTTCTATAAATCTTTCAAGTTATTGAAATGGAAAATATTTTTTAGGCAAGACAGATATTACAGTTGCTCAAAGAATGAGATTATATCGCCAGCGAAAAAGTAAAAACAAATACAAGCAGTCAATGAATGTATGTTAATTTTAATTACATGAAGTTCTTCAAACACAATTATTATATGATGATGAGTGAAATTGTGAAAACAATATTTGTTTAACATAATCCACTGTGTGAACGAATATTATAGAATTTATTAATCAGCAATCACTTCATTTCTCTAATGAAGGTTCATTTCGAAATGCTAATTACAATGACAAACCGATCATGTCATATTTGAAGTATGACTAATTACATTATTGTTTTTAAATATTATACATATTTTTAATGCTATTATAAATATATAATTTATAATTTATCATTATATAAATGTGTATAATGGTTGACACTAATAAATGTGTGCATCACGAGTGTTATCACCATATTACTGATAAACATTATTCAAATTTGTTATATGATGTATTTATTTTTATTTAAATGCCATCTTGTACAATAGCAAATAAGTTTTATTTCAATCGCGTGTGAACCTTACGCGCACTCTTTTTTTATTAATAATTTGTTCTAAATTGCAGGTTGCTGCCAATGGAGACACAGCCAACAAAATAGGCACATACCAAATAGCAGTTTTAGCAAAACATCATAAAGTACCATTCTATGTAGCAGCTCCATTTACATCCATAGACTTTACGGTAACAAAATTCACCATTACCATCACCATCATTCAATTTATCCACTAATTACCATCTATTTTCTACCAGATTCCCTCCGGTGATAGGATAATAATTGAGGAAAGACCAGAGCGCGAAATGACCCACATCGGGGAGTACAGGATCGCCGCCAAAGGTAATGGTCAACAAAAATGTGAACTCTTACTTATTTAATCCCTCATTTTAGCTAATGTTTATACAGGTATCACCTGCTGGAATCCTGCTTTTGATGTCACACCAGCAAACCTTATTAAAGGCATCATCACCGAAAAGGGAGTCTTTCATCCTTCCAAACTCTCTGATGAACTGGATAAATGACTTGGTAAATGGACGGTTGATGGAGTTACGAGATAAAAGGCAAGGAAAAGACGCTTTTATATGAAATATATGTTTATATACTATGTTAAATACCTAGTACTAGGGAATGCAATACCGATGGAAAATTTCAATACCGGTATTTTGGTAATTTTTCATTTTAAAACCGGAATACCGGTGAATTACCGGTGTTTTTATTATCTTAAACAAACGTAAACAGAATTGAAAGTTACTAGTACAAATATAAAATAATGTATATACAACTACAACTATATTCAACTAAACAATAAAATCAATAAAATAACACAATAAATGCATTTTTTTAAATAATGATTTAACAAAATTATATCCAATTTAATTAATTCATTATAGTCCAGTCATTTGGTGCAAAAAAAGGCCGGTACAGTACTCTGGGAATTCTGAAAATTGGTAATCTTATAGATTTCGAGGTGCTCTTTACGAAAATCAACTTTGCCACCTCAAATTTAAACGGCAAGTTGCCGCCATATTGAAAAAATGACGTCAAAAAACAGCTTTTTTAAAATATCTCCTTTCTGGCTCATTCTACGATAAAAGTGTCTGTGTACGAATTAAACTAGAGAAAATTTCCTACAATTCATTAGAAAACCGTTTTTTTGTAAAATTGATAGTTTGGGAGTACGGCCGCCTCAAAGTCTTTGCTGCTCTCGCCGTAGTATCAAATCTGTCCATATATGACAGCACTTCGAACTTGACCACATTCTCTCTAATAATAAATATTTTCAATGTTAAATTAAGCGAATAAGATCTAAATTAATTCAAATATTTTTCTGTTTTTTTGGTGAATTTTTAACGCTTCAAGCTACTTGAAGCTATAAGGTGCTACTTAAGCTATAAGTATACCTATAGCTACTTTGCCATTGAAGTGTTAAAAAATTAGCAAAAAAAACGAAATATTTAAATTATTTTATTTTTAGATCTTATTTGCTCAATTTAACATTGAAAATATTAATTATTAGAGAGAATGTGGTCAAGTTCGAAGTGCTGTCATATATGGAGAGATTTGATACTACGGCGAGAGCAGCAAAGACTTTGAGGCGGCCGTACTCCCAAACTATCAATTTTACAAAAAAACGGTTTTCTAAGGAATTGTAGGAAATTTTCTCTAGTTTAATTCGTACACAGACACTTTTATCGCAGAATCAGCCAGAAAGGAGATATTTTAAAAAAGCTGTTCTTTGACGCCATTTTTCCAATATGGCGGCAACTTGCCGTTCAAATTTGAGGTGGCAAAGTTGATTTTCGTAAAGAGCACCTCGAAATCTATAAGATTACCAATTTTCAGAATTCCCGGAGTACTGTACCGGCCTTTTTTTGCACCAAATGACTGGACTATTATTACTATATTGAGTACTTTTCACCAAAAACGAACTTATGAGTAAGAAAGACCAAAAACTCATAAAAGATCATATTAAATTTTTTTTATTTATATATATATACATTATTTTCATATCTCAGTCAGGCAGAGGTGTCTGGTATGAGAGATTATGAAAAACAGTTTTCATATTTTAATGTTAATAATGTTTGCATTATTATAATAAACTGTATTGTCTGAATTCGATGTGTTAAACTAGCATAATCCCCAATATTTTAAAAAAATAATTTTCTACACTAATTTAAGATCGGATTTTTTGTCGAGATAAATAAGTTACTATAATTGTTGAGTATTGTTATTTAAAACAATGTGATGCTTCTATAGTATTTTCAAACTTTGAAACGTTTTCGAAAAATAATATTTTATAATTGTAATAAGAAGCAAAAATATTTAGTAATTATCATAATTATTATGTATAAAGTTAGAAAAAAATAAAGATTACGCGGTGGTAATCTGTATGATATAAAATATTTTGGCGCAAATATCACTTAAAAAACTGTTAAATTTTTACAAAATATGAAACAAACATCATTATCTATCAGTCTAATTCTATTTATTGTAACACAATATGAAGCCCTTTGGAAAGCAATAAATATTCAGTTTAATGACGAGTTGAGATAATACTTGACATTTGTTTATCATATATAATCACTTGAAGATATAGCTGTTTATGCGATTATGGAATTTAAAGATAAATTTGTTCTGAGAAATTTAAACTTTAGGGTATTATGTATCAAATAGCGTTTATGTAAAAATACCGAAAATACCGGTATTTTTGGAATAAATGCCGCCGAAAAATCGGGCGGTTTACCGGTAATTCGGTATACCGATATACCGGTATTGCATTCCCTACCCCCTTATACGTTGCATTCACTGCCTATTATAATTATTTTTGTCATGAGAGTTGCAATAAAATATTATTGCTTAGCTTTTGTATACATTCTAATATTTTATACTAAATGTGCAACTGAAATAAATCTATAGACTAGCATAATACAATTAAATATTTGTAATAGATTTTAAACCCTGTATGTTACTTTTGTTATATTTGTTAAGTAATATACTATTTTTATAAACAACGTGTTTAAATAGATAGAATTTTTATATCACAGCTCATTTACATTCATAAAATACAACATTTGTCAACAAATACATATAGATTTAAAAATATATTTTCTTTAGCATTCTTGAAGACTAGAATCGATTGTTTCTTGAGATTCTACCAGAGGCAAAGTTTCGGTTGTTAGAGGCAAATTTGTGGTCGATGATACATCAGATAATAATCTGTTACTGAAGTCACTCATTTCTGCTTCAGATTGTTCTTCGTTTTGTAATTTTTCAGCTTTTTTTCTCTCTTTGTGACGTCTAAGGGATTTTTTTAATATGAGAGCACCTGAGAAAAATAATAAATAGATAATAAAAAGTTTAATGATAATAAAAATAATAGAACAAATAATAAGGAACAAATTTTACCTTTTACTGTGTTGTATAATGTTTGTAACTGTTCTCTGTTTTCGGAGACCTGAGAACTGAAAAAAAAATGTATATATATATATATATATATATATATATATTTCAAGTAACTAGCAGCCCATTCGTCGAAATAAAAAAGGTAATAAAGTATTAAAAACTTTTATTTATACGTTTCGACACCAGATGCGTGTCATCATTTAGCAACTACAATAAATTTGAAAATTTATTACTTTTACTAATAATAAAAACCAATATAAAATATTTATAAACATAGAGAAACATTATACATACCACCAAGACAAAAACACTCAAAAATATTATTAAAAAAAAAAAAATTAAACTTGTAACATATTAGAAAAGGACTTTTTTTTTGGAAAAATAATGAATAACTACAAAATAAAAAACATTTTGAAAGAAGTTTTAAAATGTAAACATTTCAAAAAAATGTCCTTTTCTAATATGTTACATAAGTTTAATTTTTTTTTTTAAATAATATTTTTTTGAGTGTTTTTGTCCTAGAGGTATGTATAATGTTTCTATATGTTTATAATTATTTTATATTGGTTTTTATTATTAGTAAAATTTTTTTTTTAATTTATTGTAGATGCTGAATGATGACACGCATCTGGTGTCGAAACGTATAAATACAAGTTTTTAAATACTTTATTACCTTTTTTATTTCGACGAATGGGATGCTAGTTACTTGAAATATGTTTCAACGTCGAAAAAACTATCAAGATATATATATATATATATATATATATATATATATATAAAGCAATAAATATTTATTTATGTACGTTTTGACTCTGTATGTGTGTCATCATTCACATCCGAACCAGAACATTGTTTTATGAAATTAAAAAGATTTTTTTAAGAAAACGAATAAGATTTTGAAGTTTAAATAATAAGATTAAGAATGAGATTATATCGCCAGCGAAAAAGTAAAAAAATACCATCAATCAATGAATGTATGTTAATTTCAATTAAATGAAGTTCAAACACAATTATTTAGTTAGTTATATGATTAACAAATTTTAAAATGCTTCAGTTTACTATTAAAATATTTAACTATTTTTACATTAAATGGGGATGAAACTTTCGTTACATATGAACTTTTTAAATTTTCATTATTTAAAATCATTAATTTAAATAAAAAGCAAAGAGATTATTTTAAGCAAAAAAATTACCAAGAAAGTTGTACAATGCAGCAGAAATATAAAAGTGCCTCTTTAATGCTATTAAAACTCATTTTATTTAAAAATTTTATATGCAAGTGTATAAAACAGTTTTTACTAGATTTCAGTAAATTTCATCTAGTTTTTACTAATATAAATAAAATATAATGTACAACATGAAAATTAAAAGTTATTTGGAAAATTGTACAAAATGTACGAAATTCATATGTGGCAAATTATCAAAATACTAAAGTCTGCATTTCAATTAAGAATTATGCGAAATTTAATATCCAAGTATATATAAGGGTTTCTACCAGATTTTAGTAAATTTTATGCAATTTTTACTAATGTAAACAAATTAAAATGCGCGAGATGAAAATTAGGTTATTTGAGAAAAAGTAAAAAAATGTTCTGAATCCATTTATTGTATATTAGCGAGACACTAAAGTCTGTCTTTCAATTACGAATTTTTCAAAATTTTAATACTTAAGTGTATATAATAGTTTTTACTAGATTTTAGAAAATTTTATCTAGTTTTTACTGATGTAAACAATTTATAATGTCCCAAAGGAAAATTAAAAGTTATTTGAAGAAATGTAAAAAATGTCCTGAATCCAAATTATGGAAATACTAAAGTCCGCATTTCAACAGCGAATTATTCAAAATTTCAATATCCAAGTGTGTATAACAGTTTTTACTAGATTTTAGTAAATTTTATCTAGTTTCTAGTTTCTATTAATGTAAACAAATTATAATGTCCGAAACGATAGTTAAAAGTTATTTGAAGAAAAATAAAAAAAATGTCCTACATCCATATAATGCAAATCTTAAAAATACTGAAGACTGAATTTCAAATACAAATTATTCAAAATTTCAATTTAATGGAGTTTTTATTAATGTGTACAAATTAATGAACATTTTAAGTCGTTAGAATAAACATAAAAAAATCTCTTTTGTTAATTATCAAAATACTACTACAACAAAAAACTAAATCAATTAAATCTAAACAAAAACTACCATCTAACTCTATAAATATCACATGCAAAGCGATTTTAAAGTTAGTAACATTCAAACCCCATTTATATTGTTAAAATTGGCAGTAAAAATGCAAA